ACGGTGACCTCTGTACAGCAGAACAAAACACTGCCGCCCCGCCCCGTACCCTCCTCGTCATTCGAATGTTTCAGCCCCTGTGGCAGCCACTGCGTCAATCCAGCACACTGAAGATGGTTCTCTTTGTCTGTGACCCTCTACTTGACCGAGAAGCAGGTCCTTTCCCAGGGACTGGTCTCTCCTGATGATTAAGAAGACCAGAGAATCAATTTGGTTACAAGGTTGAGGAGGGTCAGCAAACTATGGCCAGCAGACCAAATCCGCCTGCCATCTGCAGAAAGTTACTAGAAAGTACCCACGCCCATTTGATCCTGTATTAGCCACAGCAACGTTCGTGCTACAGTGGCAGAGTTGAGTGTTTGCAACAGGGACTGTGTATAAACTGCCGAACTAAAAATATTTACTATCTTCTTATTAAATAGGAGCCATGGTGGCATAGTCCACTGGTCTACTTACCACAAGGCCAGCAGTTCAGAACCACCAGCTTCTGCTTGGGAGAAAGACGAGGCGTTCTACTCCCATAAAGAGCTACTGTCTCAAAGGCCCATCGGGCCAGTTCTACCCTGTGTTGTAGGGTCACTGTGAGAATTGATTTGATAGCAATGAGTGAGCTTTCTTTCCTTAAAAAGTTTACCAGATCCTGCTAGAATTGATTGAGAATCACCGGAAAAACAAATTTTTCCCCTTGATAAAAGAAGTGACTTTCTCAGAGTTATAATGCATTGTTAATTGGGAAAATTCTAATCAGCAGGATAGATTGACAAGAATTAGATCATGTGGAAAGATTATTTCCATTTTCAAGACACTAAGCTTTTCAGTCCTGGGCTATCTCAGGAATCCTCCAACAGGTCTCTTGGTTTCCACGAGAGCTGTCCAGTACTTCAAAGCTTGCGGAATCAAGGCAGGCAGCATAAGGTACCAATAAGCTGACACTTGGCACTGCTGAACAGCCTCAGGGTTTGGGTTGCAGTAGAGCAGCAGTTCTCAACCTGTGGGTCACGACCCCTTTGGGGGTCAAACAATGCTTTCACAGGGCTCGCCCAATTCATAACAGTAACACAATGACCGTTATGAAGTAGCAAGGAAAATTTTATGGTTGGGGGTCACCACAACATGAGGAACTGTATGAAAGGGTCACGACATTAGGAAGCTTGAAAACCACTGCAATAGAGAATGACAGGAAATGCCCTAAACTGAGAAGTTCTTTACCATATGAGTGTAGCTCTCCAGTAATGTCACTCAGTGCTGCCACACCTTCCAAGAGAGGCCAGAAATGTGGGTTCTTGCGTGAAATCTATACTCACAAATGTTAGCAACAGAATTTAGGTTTATTTAAGCCTCCTGTAATGGATCCAAACTAAACTCACTGGCCAGTCAAACTGCAGACCTCTGGTTGGCAACCATTAGATAGCTGCATAGGCAGGTAGATAGGTAAGATAGGTAGGAAGGTCGATAAGCTAACTGTCTATCTCTCTCCAGACAGTGTTTTATTCTATTTTCAAAGAGTCACGATGACTTAGAACCAATTCTGTGGCACCTACAACAATACACATGTATGTATTTGTAGACAGATATAGCTAGATGTGCATATATGTTTATATACATCTGTGAACAACATTGTTTTATAGATGTGTTTTAAAACTATGCAGGCATTGTTGCATACTGCATGATCTTCTGCAATAGCAGTAATAGGTAACATTTGTTGAGTTATTACTCTGGAGCTGTGCTATCTCAATACCTTAAGGAACTGTGTAGCCAGCACTATTACTATCCCTTCTTAGTAAATGAAGACGTTTAAAGAGGCCACTTGCCCCGAGGCACACAGATAATAAACATTAGGGAGTTGAGAATTAATCTCCACATTTAGATTCCCAACCCTAAGCCTTGACCATCGTGGTAGATGGCCTCTGCACTGTAAGAGTTTCTAAAAGTCTTCATGCCCTCAAGACCCTGCTTCTGACAACTGTAATGGTTCAAATTGTTGGTGCAGTTCATTCCTTCCCACTGCTGTACCGTATTCCGTTGAGTAACTGTCATACAGAAGCATGGCAATTGTAACCTCCAGAGTCCCCATCAGCTCAATGTCAGTGAGTCCGGTTGTTGTTTTTTTTGGGGGGTTGCATCTTTTTTTTAAATCATTGTATTGGGGGCTCATACAATTCATCACAATACATAGATCAATTGTGTAAAGCACACCTATACATTTGTTGCCCTCATCATTCCCAAAATTTGCTTTCCTCTCAGGTTCCCGGAATCAGCTCATTTTCCTTTTTTCCCCTCCCCCTCCCTTCCCACTCCCCCCTCCCCCATGAACCCTTAATACTTTATAAATTATTATTATATCTTATATTGCAGTGAGTCTGGTTTTAAGGTTTATAACCTACCTATACAATGAGATTAACAAACGTTTCTGACAGATTTCTTGTGAGAATTAAGTGGTTCCATTTACATAAGGCAGGTCTGGCAGAGAATAAGCACCCAGTTCGTGTTAACTATGATTATGGGCCATTATCCCTTATTCACAACCCTTTTGATACATCTTTATCTCCAATTTTTCAAACGACAGATTGTGCCTAGCTCAAGCCCTGCACCTGCAAACCAAGTCTCCGTGGGTAGCTCCCAAAAAGAGGAATTGATATTGCCCAAGCAGCTGAACTAACTTACACAGCCACTGGTGCCCTGCGTGGAGGAGCCTGGTGGCACAGTGGGTTGTGCACTGGACTGCTGGCCAGAAGGCCAGTGTTTGGAAACCACCAGCTCCTCCACGGGAAAAGGATGAGGCTTTCTGCTTCCACCAACATTGAGAGACCTAGAAACCGCCAAGGACAGCTCTCCTTTGTCCTGTAGGGTCCATAGGGGCTGGAATCGAATCAATGACCCTGATATTTTCATTCTTGGGCTGCATTATGTGACACATCCCATTCTCCCACATCCTCATTAACAATGGATATTGTCCAACTGCTAGATTTGATAGACAAGAAATAATACCTTATTACATTAGTACCTTTTTGGACCTGGGTTTTTTTAAAATAGCTTTAGTGAGATATAAGCCATATGACATAAAATGCACCCTTTCAAAGAATAATATTCAGTCATTTTTAGGACATTCAAAACCTATCAGCACTCATTTTATATTTCATCATGTCAAAAGGAAACACTAACCCCATAAACAGTTGCTCCCCACCCGTCAGCTCCTGGCAGTCACTAATTTATTATGACTATTTCTATTTCTATGAATTTTCACATCTGGGCACTTCATGTAAGGGTAATCATACTTTGCTTAGCATAGTGTTTCTAGGTCCATCCATGTTGTAGCATGATACTTCATTCCTTTTTATGGCCTCATAACATTCCATCCTATCACTTCTGTTTATTCACTTGTCAGTTGAGGGACTTCTTGGCTATGATGAATAGAGTGTGTGTGAACAGTCATGTACAGATTTTTGTGGAGAACTAGGTTTTCCATCTGGGGAGGGGGGATATGAAAATACATATACATATATATATCTGCCTGCCATCTGCAGAAAGTTACTAGAAAGTACCCACGCCCATTTGATCCTGTATTAGCCACAGCAACGTTCGTGCTACAGTGGCAGAGTTGAGTGTTTGCAACAGGGACTGTGTATAAACTGCCGAACTAAAAATATTTACTATCTTCTTATTAAATAGGAGCCATGGTGGCATAGTCCACTGGTCTACTTACCACAAGGCCAGCAGTTCAGAACCACCAGCTTCTGCTTGGGAGAAAGACGAGGCGTTCTACTCCCATAAAGAGCTACTGTCTCAAAGGCCCATCGGGCCAGTTCTACCCTGTGTTGTAGGGTCACTGTGAGAATTGATTT